GGCCGCCTCGTCCCCCCCCCCCCTCTTGCCTATCTTACCTAGAGCCGCTCGCCACGCCCTGCCTGATCGCACCAGCCGCGACCACGCGCATGTAATGAACCCAACCGAGCCCCCTTGCGTGCCCCATGCTCCCTGCCTTACTCATCAACCGCGTCCTCTCCACCTCCAGGGCTCGGCCGACACCTCAGCCTCCGCCGCGGCCGCGCCCCCGGCCCCGCCCCCGCTGCCGCCGCTGGCCCCGCTCCCCGCGCCCGCGCCCGACGGCGAGTGGCTCCGCTGTGCGCTGGCGCGTGCCTTTGTGTGCGTGGACCACGAATCTGGGCTGACCGGCGCCGGCAGGTTCATGGGCGCGACGGCGGTGGTGGCGCTGCTGAGCGGGCGCAGGGTCTACGTCGCGCACTGCGGTGCGGTGGGCACGGGCGCGGCGCCGGAGAATTGTGGTCTGATCAGCGGTTCGGCTGCGCACTTGCAGAAGTGGCCGGCGTCTGCGTCTTTGTCTTCGCAAATCTGCGCAGGCCTGGGGCTCATGTTCGCTTTTGCAACGCCAAAACTTTGCCGCGCACGCCGCGTCCACTGCGCATTTGCCGCCCCGCGCAGGCGACTCGCGCGCCGTGCTGGGGCGCGGCGGCGGCGCCGTCACCCTGACCAGCGACCACAAGGCGTCGCGCCCCGACGAGGTTGCACGCGTGCAGGTGCGCACGCGTCCTGGCCGCGCCCGCTTTGGGGCTGCGCGCGCCTTGCGCTGACCTCAGCTGACTATGGCATGAATGTGCAGCAGGCGCACCGCTTCGATAAACGAAGTCAAAAGTTGAATGTGTCCGGCTTGGACCTGTGGCCCCCTACACTCTGCTTTTACAACTTGTTCCCCGTCACATGCGCAGGCGCACACCCACACATGCTCAGCACACAAAAACTCACACATACGCACGCTTTGCCTCACAAACTGCCAATCACACACCGCCAAACACACACACACACACACACCCATGCACACATGCTAAACACACGCATGTATAACCTTGACATGTGCCCCAACCTCCATCACAGGCCGCTGGCGGGCAGCTGTGGTTTGGCCGCGTTATGGGTGAGCTGGCGGTCAGCCGCGCCATAGGGGACCACTGCCTCAGGCCCTACGTTATTGCACTGCCAGAGGTGGGCGCTTGGAGCGGGGGCTGGGCACTGCTGATGCTGCATGTTACTTTGTGTGTGGGCGCGTGTGCCTGATGGTTTTGGGGTGTACATCAGTGTGACGTGTGTGTGTCTGGTGCGTTCGTGCGTGCGTGTGTGTGTGTGTGTGTGTGTGTGTGTGTGTGTGTGTGTGTGTGTGTGTGTGCGTATGCGCGTGCACGCGCGCGTATGCGCGTGCACGCGCGCGTGTGTGCATGTGCATTCCTGTGTGCGAGTGTGCATGTGTGCACGCAGGCGCGCACGCCGCATCCGCCACTCACGCGCCCCAGTCAACCCCTCCTGTCGACCGGAACACCCAGAGGGGCCCCGTCATCCGGGCAGCCGGGCGAGTGCCTTGACGCGCACATCCTCCACGCCCCACCACGTGCCCGCCCTCATCTCCTTTCCTGAAACCTTCGAAACCAACCACCCAGGTGTCCATAGTCGAGCGCTGCCCCGACGACGAATGCCTCGTCCTCGCCAGCGACGGCCTGTGGGACGTCTTTGGCAGCTCCGACGCAGCTGCCCTCGCCCTCTCCCGCCTCCAGTCCGCCGCCGCCGAGGGCCTCTGCGGCGCGGCGGCCGCGCGCGCGGCGGCGGGCGCGCTGGTCAAGGCCGCGCTCGAGAGGGGGTCTCGCGACAACATTACGGCGCTGGTGGTTGATTTGAGGCCCCGGCCGGCCGCGGCGGGCGCCGACGACGGGCGCCCCGGCGGGGGGCGCGCGGGCGTGAAAGACCTGGCGGCGCCGAAAGCATGAGGCGGCCGCCGGGCGCGCGGCCCCCGTCGCCGCTGGCGCCGCGCTATGGAATCAGAGGGGCCTGCGCTGGCTGGAAGCGCGTTTTGTACTGCGGCTGGCGTCCAGAGCGCTTGCCGGCTCGAAGGAATGCTTTGTCTGCTGACGCTGGCCAGAGGGTGTTGGTCTGCTGCGTCACGACGCGACCAAACGCCGCCGCTCGAATCCTGGTGCGCAATGACCGATCCGCACGGTGCGCGCTGTTGTGAACAGCGCGCCCCTTGCTGGCATTTTCTCACTTGGCAGTGGCGACCATTGCCACCTTGACAAGAGCCTGCGATATGCATGCACGATGCTGCCTCAACCCCCACGAACTGCTCGTGACTGCCAGCACAACGAAGCGGGCCCGCTCCCACGAGCCTGGCGGCCGCGCCGCACGAGGATCGCGCCTGTGGCTGGGGCCGTGCCGCGTCCTGTGATGGAATTGCGCGGGGCATAGTGGTTTGCATTTGGGACAAACTGGGCGATGTGTCGCTCGCGGCCGGGCTTGCGGCGAACCACACCTCGACGGCTTGGGGGAGGGGGTTGGGGGCCGTCGGGGCGGCCTCCAATCAGGCCGCCTGGCGGTGCCCCCCTTCTGCCTGCCCGCGCGCCACGCGCCGTCCGCCGCCGTCGCCCCGGCTGCCCGCCGCTTTGCTCCCTGCGGCGGCCACCCAACAACTGGGCAGCGGGGTGTTGTGGGTTGGGCCGCTCCCATTGAGCACAGTCTAGAGGCGCCGCCGCTTTGCGCCGTGCGCCTTAAACGTTCAGGGGCGTCGAGCCATCATTTTGGGGCCGGCCGCGGCGGCCACCGCGCCGCGCTGCGCGGCCGTGCCCGCTCCACCCGCGGCGCGCCCAAAGCTGGCTGGCCGGCGCGGCTGGCCGCGACGCCGGCGCCCACCATCACGAATTTACCCCACATCTTTACATACATACAAACATACACACACATGCACTTGGCCCATGCACTCAGATCACTTTGACCACTCGTGCCAAGCATCCCTGGACGCCGCCGCCCCCCACATTGCCCTCCCCTCGAGAACGGCCTGCTCCCCAGCAGCCACCTCCCCGGGCCGCCCCTTCGCCTCCCGTCGGCCCAATGCGCGGCGCGCCCCGATGCCGCGCCCTTTGCGCTACAAATGCCCTCACCCCTGCCCGCCCGCACCCTCCATGCATGCATGAACGGCCCCTGCCGGGGCTGGCGGGGCGCTGCGGCCCCCCTCGCATTGCCAGATGCTCACCCTGATGCACTTCCGCCGCCGCGCATGTTTGCGGCAGTGGCCCGCCTTATGCAACGGGCGGGCCTGTCACTGCTCCCGCAGATACAAGTTACTGCTGGATGCCATTTGCATGCCCCCATCCTACAACCACCAAAGCTTTGTCGGTAGCCCCCCACGAGGCCGAGTTCGCAAGGCCGCGCCCAGCGGCGCGCCCGGCGACAGTGGCGCGCGGCTGACGACGTCTTGAGTTGCGCGCAGCTTTGAGCGCCCAGGTTGCACCCTGTGTGTAAGGGCCGCTGGATATATTGATCGTGTGCCGCGGGAGCGCTGCCGTTGGGTGCAAAGGTCGCAGGGTGCAAAAAACTTTTGGGAGTCATGGACAGGGAGAGGGGTAAGGCGCGCGCGCGCGCTTTGCGTGTGTGTGTGTGTGTGTGTGTGTGTGTGTGTGCGCGCGCGCGTGCGTGCGTGCGCGCCTTCACGCGCACATATCGATGCATGATGGGGACACACACTCGTCTGGCTGCCAGGGTTGTCACGAAGGCAGTTACAAGCAGCGCAGAATGCTGCCAAGAAGAAAGTAATTTGCAAAACAATGGCTGCAATTGAAGCAGCGCGACATCGACAAAAACAGAGGTCGAGCGTGTGCACCCAAGAGGAAGCAAAAACTGCAGCCAAAAAAAACGGACGGCCTGGTGGCCGTCACGCTGATTGCATAGGCCTGGGCGTCAACAAGTCACAGTGCCGCCCATCCTCTCCTCATATCCGCGCGGCCTCACCAGCCGCACGCGCGCGCCCCCGCGCGGCCCCCGCCCACGCCCGCGCCGCCCCCGCCTCACGCCGGGGGGCCAGAAGAGCGCCGCTGCTGCCACCGCTCAAAGTCGCGCAGGGCCGGGCCCAGCATGCGCTTGGCTGCGGGGGGTGGTGCGTGGGGGAGGGGCGGCCGCGAGCACAGCGGCAACATTTGGATTTGGTTTCAGGTTGGTGGGGTTCAGTCAGCCAAAGCTCCGAAAAAAGGACCGGCATGGAAGATGCAAGGCGTAGAGACAGGTCCTCGGGCCCTGCGCTGAGAGCTGCGGTTTGGTTCCGCCGCAGCTGTAACAGCGAGGGGCTGGTGGAGTGGGGTGGGGTGAGGCTGTGCTGGGCAGGAGTCAGACACTCACTGATACGGTCAAAGTCGCGCGTGTGCCAGCGGGTGCCGTCATGGGTGTACATCATATTGGTTGCGGCGAAGTAGACGCTGGTGCCAATCTGGGAGTTGTGTATGTGCGTGCGTGCGTGCGTGTGTGTGTGTGTGTGTGTGTGTGTGTGTGTGTGTGTGTGTGTGTGTGTGTGTGTGTGTGTGTGTGCGCGTGT